AAAATAAAATAAACAGAAGAGGGAGCCCTTAAAAATCACAAATTTAGAAAAGGCATCCAGAATCCTGACTCCTTTCTCAAAACTGAGGAAAATTAATCTCATATATAAATGACCCCCCATCCCCCAAAAAGGCCCAAGGTCAACTTCTGTACAAGAAATTATATGACTAAAGTTAATGACAGTTATAGAGACAATATATATATACATCTAAAGCAAATGCCCTGAAAACAAGGAAAAATACTATACCATACTATTCAATAACATGCTAAAAGACAAGAAAAAACTTTTAGATAAGAAAAATCATAAATGAGAATTAGAAAAACTCAGAATTGGGTGATAGAGCTCACAAGTAAATTTCAAATAAATGAAAAATAATGAAAGAATACGAACCTAGAAAGAATATGAGAATAAATCCAACAGATCAATGTTAACACAAATAAGAATAAAGAAATATTTGAGAAGGATATGAAAATGAATTACAATTTAACCTATAGTTGTTTTATCTAGGCTTCTGTGTTAAGTCTTATGATTAAAGAAAAGGTGAAAATCATATTCAAAAAACAAAGACAAAAAAACTAAATCACATTAGGGATCCTAACTACTCTTAGAAAACAATTCTACTAATTCTTCATAAGGATCCACAAAATCTAATAGGATCTTTTCCTTCCTAACATACTAGCTTCATGTCCTGTTAGTCACCATTCACTAACTGATCTAGATGCTACTACTCAAACACGCAAACCTCATCCCCCTTGAGGGCCTTTGCATGTGTGGTTCACTCTCCTTGGTTGCGCTTTCTCATACAGTCAAAAAGCCTGTGACCTTACTTCCTGTCTCTGCACAAACGTTAGGAAAGGGTTCTTGATCATGCTACCTTACCTAAATTTGCTGTGTTCTTTGTTAGTGTCCTTCATAACATATTTCACTACCTTATATTATTTATCTATTTATTTCATGTTAATTTCTTCCTTAACATGGTATAATCTCCATTACTGCAAGAACATTATCTGCCCTATTCAGTATTACTGGGTTGATTATGCCAAGCACGGTGCCAGCTCAGACTATTAAAATATTTTCCAGGTATAGGAATGAATGTATTTTTAGACAAGAGTCACATTGAAAAAGAGGATCTGGAAAGAATCTGGTCCAAAATACAGGTAAATGGCTACACCATGGAAGGAAAGGGACTAGCATGAAATTGGGAGGGGAATATGAGAAAAATAACATGGTGAATGATTAATGAGCTTAAGATGAAGTTGAGATACTTCCTCTTCACATTACAAGACTTTCCTTCACTGAGAAGGGAGCTTTCCAATTAATGTTTCAAGGATGTGTTTACCAAGTGTATTTACCACCTGGGCTATCACTTACACAAATGACTTCTGCCTGACCTGCTCTTACGTACCTGTACACCAACTTCTTGTTTTTTCTCTCATAAACATCCAGGGTTCTTTTCCTTGCTCCAGTAAGGTAATTACATTTGGCTTAGAAATGGAATGGCCTGCTTTAAAAAAAACAGAATGCCACAGGTTGCAAAATAAATTGTAACTAGTCAAGGTAAAATTATAATTATGATAATAAAAGATCATAATGATATTGACTGTTTTAGAGAAGAACGAGAAAATTAAAGGATAAGAGTCAGTTAGGTAAGGCAAAGTTGTTGTTTTGCTGTATTTAAAATTCAAACTCATATGTCCTCTAACTCTAGAGAGCAAACATAATGTGGTTAAAAACATATTTTGAAGCCTGGGATCAATTCCTGCCTTTGCTACCTTCCAGCTGGGTATAACCTCGAATAATTCACTTAAACCCACTATACCTCAGTATTCTCATTTATAAAATGGGGATAATAATAGTACTGTTGGGGGAATTAAATCAGTTAATACTCTCAGTTATTTTAATCAGTTAAATCACATAATGTGCTTAGAATAATGACTACTACACAGTAATCAAAATGTTAGCTATTAACATTATTCTTATGCTCTAATGTCACTAGAGGATACAAGAAAAGACAGCTATAAGATATTCATTCCATTTTGAATGTAATTTTCATGTATTACAACTTTCAACCACAAATCAGATGAACTTTGTTTTAAGAAATGAACTGCTTTTGGTACAGTTTTAAATAAATCCCAGTTATGCAATCCATCACCATATAAATTGTAGAGGCTCTTTTGATACCGAGAGCAATTTAGGACCCTCTGTCAAGCTGATATCCCTGAAACTGTTTCAGATCTTAAAATGGAGTATTAGAGCAATCTGGAGCACAAATGAATAAAAAACTTGGATCCTTTGACCATGGTTATACAGTATATGCCACAAATACCTAATTTAGCTGCTTGGTCATTATGGAAGAGATGCAAACATAAAAAAAGAACACATGGAGATGTGAATATGATTGAAGGATAGGGAAGATAAAAGTGTTTAATGGAGCTGCCATTTCTAACCTGACAAAGCTCAGACCATGTTTTTGGGAAGAGGAAAAAAAGCAAATTTAACTAGTTTCTGGAAAGGCAGCCCTGAAAATTACAGTAGAAAAAAATACACAGCCTATAGAGCAGATTCTAAATTAATCTAAATTATTTGAAGCGGATGAACATACCCAGTGAGACCAAGTTACCATAGTTCTCCATCATCACATCCCGGTACAAAGTCTTCTGAACGAGGTCAAGACATTCCCACTCCTGCTGAGAGAAGCCTATGGCCACATCACTGAATGTCAGTGATCCCTGAAACAGTAAACACATGTATCACTGGGCAAATTAAAGAAAATACTTTGAAAGCAGAAGCAGGAGTTGATGGACTTCTCCATAGGAAAAGAGAAAATGAAAGTATGTAGGCTGGCAATCTATGATGTGGAAGGAGACTTAAGCACAAGGTATACATATTTTTTAAGAAGCCTGCCAACACAGGTCAAATGTCTTCAGTATTCTGGGATACTTCTAAATATCTGAACCATTTGGAAATGGACAAAATAATGTTTCCCTCCTAAATTAAAAAGCGTATATACAAGAATAATGTCCAAATGGTATCTGCCTCAAAAATTCTCAATAAATAAATATTTCTCCAAATTTTAAAAACTGGGTTGCATAAAATTAATACGATTTTCTTCAAGTATCAAGTACTATTATGTTAGATCTTGCCATAAGCATTTTTGCTTGATTCAATAAATCCATTTATTATTTTGGCATATGACATTGTATTTTATAAATTAATCAGATTTAATAATTTATACAATTAGATGCACATTTGGAAGGTTTTCCACAATTGTAAGGTTCTATTTTCACCAACTACATATAATGATATGCATTTTTGTTGCCATCTACCATTTCTCACTGAACACTTTCCTTATTCTGAGTGTAGTAGGTAACCTCATTGATTACCAGTGATCTCCATTTCCTGGTATTTATGTCCTAATGTAATCCTCTCCCTTTGAATGTGGTCTGAACCCAGTGAGAGAGAATTATTTCCAACAAATATAGAAAAGTGATGGAATGTCACATCCAACATTAGCTTATAAAAAACTATGATTTCCACATTGCTTATTCTCTCTTGCTGTCTCAGTTGGTCACTCTGATGAAGCCAGCTACCACGTGTGAGCTGCCCTAAGGAAAGCCCCACATAATAAACCTCCTTTGGAGGAAGACGCGGTCGCCGCTGTAGCGGAGCCTCGGGCCGCCCACTCCTGCTCCTGATTCACTGCCGTTCGCTCTCGCGGAGGAACAAGTTGGTCAGGAAGCCGCACCGCAGCTATGGCTTTTAAAGATACCGGGAAAGGGGCTTCCCTGGTGGCGCAGTAGTTGGGAGTCCGCCTGCCGATGCAGGGGACGTGGGTTCGTGCCCCGGTCCGGGAGGATCCCACGTGCCGCAGAGCGGCTGGGCCGGTGAGCCATGGCCGCTGAGCCTGCGCGTCAAGATACCGGGAAGACTCCCGTGGAGCCCGAGGTGGCGATTCACTGGATTAGAATCACCCTCACCAGTCGCAACGTGAAGTCTTTGAAGAAGGTATGTGCTGATCTGAGCAGAGGCGCGAAGGAAAAGAATCTCAAAGTGAAAGGACCGGTTCGGATGCCTACCAAGACTCTGAGAATAACTACAAGGAAAACTCCTTGTGGTGAAGGTTCTAATATTTGGGATCGTTTCCAGATGAGGATCCACAAGCGACTCACTGACCTGCACAGTCCTTCTGAGATTGTCAAGCAGATCACTTCCATCAGTATTGAGCCAGGAGTCGAGGCTGAAGTCACCATTGCAGATGCTTAAATCAACATTTTTAATAAATTGATAATCAGTTGTTAAATATTGTTGACTTTTATTCATAATACTGACAGGTCTTGGGAATAGAGTTGTGCTATGGAATTCATTCCACCTTTTAAGTAGAATAATTAAAATTAGATGGGTAGCCTATGTTTTACTCTTTTTCATTATATTTTCCAGGGGCCACTAAATTAGTTTACACTTGACATTATTTGAAAACTGAAATGTCTTAGCTAAATAACATGTGAGACCTTGTGTTGATGATGAATATATACAGTTCTGGCTGCCTATTGGAGCTTTTCCAGGGAACATGTGTCTGGGTTCTACTCTGGAAAATCCGATTTAATTGATATGGGGTACTATCAAAAGTTTCTGGGGTGATTCTAATGTGTACAGCCATGGTTAAGAACCTAAGGTACTAGAGGGCAAGTAACTCAGGGAAAATAGATTTTAAATTCCAGCCCTGGCTCTGCCAGTTTGTCATAACTCCTTTTAAATTTGAAAAATTTCAAAATGTTTTTGAAACTTTGTTAATAAATTTTATAGACAAAAAACAACAAAACAAAACAAAAAAACAATAAACGAAGAGCAGTCGCCAGCCAACAGCTACTGAGGAAGTGAGGCCCTCAATGCAACAGCCATGAAGAACTGGATCAAGTCAACAACCACTTCAATGAGTTCTGATGCAGATCCACTCAAAGTTGAGCTTTAAAATGACTGCAAACCCTGACCAACACATTATAACCCTGTAAGAGACACAGAGCAGGAGAGCCAAGCTAAGCAACATCCAGATATCTAACTCACTGAAACTGTGAGATAAACGGTTGCTGCTTTAAGATGCTATGTTTCAGAGTAACTCATTATGCACTAAAAGATAATTCATTGATTTAAATGATACTGAAGAAGGCTGGTCAATTATATAGATGTTACACAAACTTAGCATGTCTCATTCAACAACAAAATAGCCTTAGTGTTTATGTCTCATGGCTTTCCTACCAAATCCATGACCTCCATGTTCAAAGCCCCAATCATATACTACTCATCCATACAAAGCAGGAATTTCATACCATATTAAGATTCAGGTCATTCAATGATAAATTCCACCTCATCTACCTGGAAATCTCGGATCTGTGGAAAACTTCAAAGTCTTACCATGGATAGTTAAACAGAACCATTGTCTCCATCTCCAAACTACAGATCTGACCTGCATAGCATAAATTTCTACTTCAAAGAACTTACCCCACTGTTCCATCACTGCCCTTAATTGAAGAATGGGCACTTAAAATATATTGAAAATTTTGGACAATAATTACATGAACACTAGTTAGTTTTGAATGGGCCATACGGAGACAGTGCCAGGTAATTTGGCCACATATTTCTCTGGAACAATAGCTAGGAAACAGGTTATTTGAGGGAACTTTCTGTTAGGAAACATCAGGAAAATTAATGAAAATACTTACATGACCAAAAAAAAAAAAAATACACATATTTCAACAAGGAGAGAAACATCAACTTACATGGGCCATGGTTTTAGACCTGCAAGAGATGATCAGTCCTCTGGGCTCCTCTACCAGAAAAGCAGAGTCCAGAAAATCCAGACCTGGGAGAAGAGAAAGACCTTGAGACCAGTTGTATTTTAGTGTTTCCTCACTGGGTTTAAGTTAATATTACCATTTATGCTCTTCCATTCCAGATTCCAAATTACTTCATATCACACACAACTTGGGTAAGTTAGGATTCTGGACAAATCCATTTCCTCACTCAATTCCTAGGAGTCTCAGCTGCAGAGTCATTTCTGCATTGAAACCAGACCCAGATACTTCAGTAGAAAATTTTCTGGCCAATGTACCATTGTTACCAGGTTGACGTGAAACTAAGATTGGGCAGCTCTGTCCTGCTCTGAGCAGATCTTCTTCTCTCCATTCCCAACTTCAAGAGAAAAGAGGCCACATAATCCAAATCAGAACCTCTTTCTGGGCTTGAAAGTGGGTGAAGTTGATCAAAATATTAGAGATGGACAAGTAATGTTCAGCATTCTGAGTCCAGCAAAGCTTATTAGTTAAATATATGACAGACCAATATTATACTAGAATATACAAGTAGTCATTCAATGTTAAATTGGGAAGAATATTTAAGGACGTGGAAAATGTTCCATATATAATGTCAATAGAAAAATCAGGTTGACTAATATATTTCTATTTATAAAATATAAGAGCATATTAATCAATACAGAGAAAAGAATGACAATCATAAAACAGAAAATAGAAAAGTCTGGAAATATACATGGCCATATATTAACAGCTATTATATTTTTGGTTATGTTTTTATTGTTTTGTTTTTTAGGGGGTGTTTTTAGGAATGAAGTACTGGGTATTCAGTTGTTTTTAGTTCATACATGAAACAATCAAAACTAGTGAAGACATAAATTATACCTTTGCCATGATCAGAATTTGACATTGGCAATCCCTATCTTTTTGCTTAGATCTTGAGTTTTGGTTTTTTTTTTAAGGTTACTTCATAATCATTGTAACAATTGACATAAGAACTTGAAATTTTTTTTTTTTTAATTTATTTGTTGCTGCACATGGGCTTTCTGTAGTTGCGGCGAGCAGGGGCTACTTTTCATTGCGGTGCACGGGCTTCTCATTGCGGTGGCTTCTCTTGTTGCGGTGCACAGGCTCTAGAGGGCAGGCTCTGTAGTTGTGGCGCAGGGGCTTAGTTGCTCCTCAGCATGTGGGATCTTCCCCAACCAAGGCTCAGACCTGTGTCCCCTGCATTGGCAGGAGGATTCTTAACCACTGTGCCACCAGGGAAGTCCAAAATATGTTTTTTTTTAAATTTGTTAAGGTGAAGACGTCCACAAAGTTCTTTGTTCTTTAAATTCAGATCATTGGGATGTCTCTGGCAGTCCAGTGGCTAAGACTTCACCTTTCAGGGACTTCCCTGGTGGCACAGTGGATAAGACTCCATGCTCCCAATGCAGGCAGCTCACGTTCTATCCCGGGTCAGGGAACTAGATCCCACATGTATGCCACAACTAAGAGTTCACATGCCACAATTAAGGAGCCCGCAAGCCACAACTAAGGAGCCCTTCTGCCGCAAGTAAGACCAAGGTAACCAAATAAATAAATAAATATTAAGAAAAAAAAAAGACTTCACCTTCCAATGCAGGGGGTGCAGGTTCGATCCCTGGTTGGGGAGCTAAGATCCCACATGCCTTGGGGCCAAAAAACCAAGAAGCAATATTGTAACAAACTCAATAAAGACTTTAAAAATGGTCCACATCAAAAAACTTTAAAACAATTATTTTAAATAAATAAATTCAGATCATTTTACTATATGGCTTATATTTTGTTTCCTTTGGATCCCAATATCTCATTTTATAATTTCTTCTCAGTTATGTTGGAATTCTGACCACAAAAAACTTGGGAACGGTCCCTGAGTAATCTCTTTTGTGAAGTGATGACAGTCTCAATACAGCTTTATTTCAGATCTTTTCAACAGAAGAATTTATCTTGTTTCTGAACCTGTCAGTTTTGTCGTGATATCCTCCAGATAGCTGCTGAATTATCTTACCTATTAATTTTGCTATACATCTAATATCATTAGAATGAAATCTACAAAATATAAAGGTTATAGTAAAAAAATCCACTTATTGCCATACAGATCCCATGTGTTCAGTATTATTTGTTTATATGCTTACTGTCACTATAGTCACACTGATGTCTCCTTTAGGCAGGTCACCTAACTCTCACCAGTGGCCTTTATCACACACTAGCTTTCAATTATTCATATTCAGATTTTAACTTCCTTCACAGATTATATGTACTCTGAAGGAAGTAATTATGTCTTTTTAGTGGCTGTATTACTTCAAATATTATACTTTCCAGGTCTGACATATTTTAAACAATTAAAAGAAGTATGATTTTTGACTACAAAATACCACTTTTAGAAAAATTTTAAAGGAAATAACTTACAGAAGTTCACAAGGTATATGCACAAGAATGTTCATCAGAGAATAATTTTTGATAGTCCAAAATTAAAAACATAAAAATCTCACAGCAGGCAAACAGGTTAACTATATTATAGTCTGCTATATTGTGACATACTATGCCTTTTTTTTTTTTTTTTTTTTTTCTGCATTGGGTCTTTGTTGCTGCATGGGCTTTCTCTAGTTGCAGCGAGCGGAGGCTGCTCTTCCTTGCAGTACGTGTGCTTCTCACTGCGGTGGCTTCTCTTGTTGCTGAGCACGGGCTGTAGGCACGCGGGCTTCAGTAGTTGTGGCAAAAGGTCTAACTAGTTGTGGCTCGTGGGTTCTAGAACGCAGGCTCAGTAGTTGTGGCTCATGGACTTAGTTGTTCTGCAGCAGGTGGGATCTTCCCGGACCAGGGCTTGAACCCCTTTCCCCTGCACTGGCAGGAGGATTCTTAACCACTGCGCCACCAGGGAAGTCCCCCCATGCCATTCTTAATAAGAACGATATTAAACCATATAATTGACGGGAAACAATATTAAAAGAATTGCTCGGTGAAGAAGGCAGGTCTAAAAAAGTATGCATAATTTAAGAGGTGGCATCCCGTTGAAATTAAGAAAAATATTTCAATGCCGATTTCCTCATCAGCAAAGTAGGGATAAAAATATCACATACGATATATGACTAGTTTGAAGACTAGGCAAAATAATTCAAATACACACTAAATTGTATATCATGATGACTAATGTAAATTATCTATCATTATTGAAGAACAAAATCATTCCATGTTCCTTAATCTTTTATTATAAAAGGAAGCTAATTCTGGTGCTTCCTGGTTTTATTATATTAAAACTTGTGCTTCTTGGGTGTCCTCTTTCTTCTAATTCTAGTATTTAAAATTTTAGGAGGTACGTTTGAGAAAGCAGATTTCTGCTTAATAAAATCATTAATTAAAAAGAGAGAGAGAGAGATCAGACAAGAAGAGAGAAAATGTTCCCTTCCTCAGTCCCCAGCAGCTATAGAGAGCAAGAAAAACTGTTCAGAATCATAAACCTGTTCAAAGAATATCATGATAAAACTGGGAAAACTAACTGGAGAATGGAATCTTATTCTTTGCACAGTATAGAGATTTATGTAAATATTTAAAAATATAATCTTTATTTTCTGGTATAACAACAATGTTTGGAAATATTGTTTGTACTTGTAAGACACCTGGAAATCAGAGATTAGTGTTATTTTTTCTGAAAACAAGCTTAAATCTCTAAATTATTAACTCTGAAAGCATGTCTTACTTAGTAATATGGTGCCCTGGTAATTAAGTTTTAAATAACATTTGTAATAACTAAAAGGTTTAACTACTTGTAATGCTTTTCACACAAGATTCTCTGCCCTTCCCTCTTCTCCCTACATGTACAGGGGTATAAAGAAAACTATCATTGGATTAGATTTCTTTTTTGAACTATGAGTTGAACCTTATCTCCTTTATTTGATCAATTTTATTCTGCCAAAACAAAACCACACAAAATTGGAAAAATATACACCAAAATGTTAAAGTGACTATCTCTAAGCAGGGAGATAATGGGTTATCCTTGCTTTCTTCTCAGTAAATTCCCTAAAGAAATGAAAATTTTTTGCAATAAGCCTGTATTAATTCCATCATCATAAATAAAATATATAAAGATATTTCAAAGTATTAAAATATGTATAGACATCACTTGGGAAGAGGCCATATATTCCTCATTTTAAAAATCTGTTAATATGACAATGAAAAAAAATCAATGTGATTAAAATAAATACCAGTTAAGGGAATTCCCTGGCGGTCCAGTGGTTAGGACCCAATGCTTCCACTGCAGAGGACCCGGGTTCGATCCCTAGTTAGGGAACTAAAATCCCGCATAGTAGTGTACTAGCACAAAAACAGAAATATAGATCAATGGAACAGGATGGAAAGCCCAGAGATAAACCCATGCACCTATGGTCACCTAATCTATGACAAAGGAGACAAGACTATACAGTGGAGAAAAGACCGCCTCTTCAATAAGTGGTGCTGGGAAAACTGGACAGGTACATGTAAAAGAATGAAATTAGAACACTCCCTAACACCATACACAAAAATAAACTCAAAATGGATTAAAGACCTAAATGTAAGGCCAGACACTATAAAACTCTTAGAGGAAAACATAGGCAGAACACTCTTTGACATAAATTGCAGAAAGGTCTTTTTTGACCCACCTCCGAGAGTAATGAAAATAAAAACAAAAATAAACAAATGGGACCCAATTAAACTTAAAAGCTTTTGCACAGCAAACCATAAACAAGATGAGAAGAAAATGGGAGAAAATATTTGCAAGTGAAGCAACTGACAAAGGATTAATCTCCAAAATATACAAACAGCTCATGCAGCTCAATATCGAAAAAGCAAACAACCCAATCAAAAAATGGGTGGAAGACCTAAATAGACATTTCTCCAAAGAAGACATACAGATGGCCAACAGACACATGAAAAGATGCTTAACATCACTAATTATTAGAGAAATGTAAATCAAAACTATA